CTTATAAAATTCCAGTAATTATATGTCATAATTGCTACAGATTTGGACATAGAATTCTGCAATGTAGAAGTAGGAAAAGATGTATTAAGTGTAGTGATACTCATGAAGATGCATGAATAGATGTCTTTAAATCGGATTTAGAAAAGAAAATTAAATGTATTAATATGTAAAAAAATCATTATCCACTTAACAAGGAATGAAAGGAGGGAATTAAGAAGGCAATTTATGATTAATGATGCGATGGCTATGCATGAACATATCTTTTTTTAAGAAGCAAAAAAAATTTATTCCCAAAGACACGGCTCTTCTCCAGATAGTCAGGCATTTTCCCGAAGACTTTAGTAATTTGTCTTCGTCCCTAGAGCTTAAAGAAGCCACTCATTATATTTCTACTTTAAAAGAAGCAAGTAGACCTCGTTCTTCCGTTTCACAGAGGATACAAACCAAAATATCTTATAAAGACATCCTTTTTCCTGATTCGGCTAGATTATCATCCAGTCCAATTGTTAAAATTAATTTAGTCAACATCCTGGAAAATAAATCCAAAATTGATGAAAATATAGATGCATCTATGGAGGTTGGAGAGTCATCCAATTTTATTTTAGAATCATCTAGCCAAAATACTGTTCAGTCTCAAGAAAGTTTTGTAGATAGTTCAAGTTTAAGAACAAAGTTGATAAAATATACAAAGTTAAAAACTAAAGATTAAAACATATTACAAAAGAAGTCAAAAAGAGCCATATAAAAACTTTATTTTTTAAAAATTCTTACATGTTTATTTACCTTTATTATTTTATGGTTATTTAATTTAAAAAAAAAAAAAAAAAAAATTTAATTTTGTTATTTTTATAATGGTTTAATTTTATAATTGATTTATTATTTTATGGAATATTAGAAGTGTTTTATCTAACAGAGATACCTTAATGAATATCATAGAGATTTATCCTGATATATTGGATTAAATGAAGACATGGCTAAATCAGAATAATCGTTTAGATATTTGAGAGGTTATGTTGTTGAGGTTCAGAAGAGATGATGGAACAAGTAGGCATTTGCTTTTTTATCAGGATTCGATTCATTTAAATTTAGTTTATATAAGGCAATATTTCAGTTCCAGCAAAATGTATCAACATAAAAAATATTGAAGTTAGAAAAGTATTTATCTTGCATTAATCAATAATCCGCCAGATTCCAAAATTTACCAAAATGATTTCACTTAAGCTGACATGATGCAGGGGTTGGGTTGAAAAAGTAATGAAATGGGGGAGATTTTAATGCCCAACACATGGCGTGGGGTTCAGATGTTAATAATAGCAATGGTTTTATTCTTACTGACATATTGGAAACCATAATTTGAATTTTTTGAATAATGGAAGGATGGTTTTCCCACGCGGATTACTTTTCCTCCCAATCAGCATTTAAAGTGTTCCAGATTTAAATTCTGGGAATAATTCATTACTACAAGATTATTCGTTTGAGGTTTTGTCAGATTATATAGGTATGAGCGATCATCTTCTCATTCTTTGCAAGAATGTATCAATGCTTTTAAAACATAATTTTTAAATAATACAAATTTTTTTTTTTTTTTTTTTTTTTTTATATTGATTGCTTTGGACGGAGTATGATGGTCAAAGTAACAATTTGTCTTATCATATATTGTTCAAGCAGATTAAAAATGCGGCCAACAGGTCAATTCCGGTAAATAAGAAAGAAAAGAGACTAGGTAATCCTTGGTGGGATAAAAGATTTGATATAAGCCTGGAAAGTAAAACGAGGCAGCATTTTGAAAGACGTTATAAAAAGACAGTTTACGGAGCAAGAATTATATACTTTTTCGAAAGGCTAGAGCACAATGTCGAAAAGTTCTCAGAGAGAAAACGAAATGTTAAGTTTTTAATAAATTGTAGCTTAGTCTATCTCCAAATTAACACTATTAATGAGGTTTTGTGTTACAAATAAAACGTTTTTCAAAAATACCATCTATACACAAATTAAAGCCAATCGGAAACCTCAAATTTCGTTAAGAAAACCTTTGAATTGTTCCATTGCTGAAGATATGCTTGCCCTTTTAGCGCCCCCAATTATTCCAGATGTAGATCCTGACATTTTATTTCAAAAGTGTCTGAGTTCTAATATTTCTCTTAAGGAGACACAGGTTGCCATATTTAGAAAGCAGAGAGATTCTGCTCCAGGCGCATTGACTCTAATACAACTTTATTCCGAATGATTACAATAATCTTCCTTCTTTGAATCACTTATTAATGTTTCCTATGTACTTCTTTAATCGAAGTTCTTTTATTCATTCAGAATAATTCCAAGGTGGACGACTTGGAAAACAGGATTAGTCTTGTCGCCCAATTCCCTAAACCTAATACAAGAATTTAAAATACATATTAGCGCAGGTTACCAGCCACATTACTCTCAAATCATTGAAGGGACAACATTATGGGAAGATACTCAGTTGAAACGACTGAACTTGGAATGTGTATGTCGGCGAACCAAAAACTACAAAATTCTCAGTGATTCTCAGTTTGGGTTTAGGAAAGGTAAAGGAGTTTTTGAAGCATTAACTTCTTTATGTTCATCGATAATTTCTGGACTCTCATATAATAAATTTTTCAGATAATTGTTTTTTAGATATGAAAATGCATATGATTAAAATTAATATTCTATTTTGATTCGTAAATTAGCTGAATTGGGTATTGAAGAGAATATTTGTAAATACATTAAAGAGATACATACCAACAGAAAAATTTAATATTGTGATATGTTCAAACAAAATATTGATGGTCCTGGTTTTACTAATAAGGGTTTAGCACAAGGATCTCCTTTAGCTCCAATTTTATTTAATATTATATTAATAATTGTTAGTGACTTTATGGGAGATGATGTTAAATAATTCAATTATGCTGATTGATATTGCTCCTCCGTGGCTCAAGGGTTATATTATAGATTGATTGTTAATAAATTCAAATGTCAGACAGTCTTGAGAATGGGCCGAGAATTAATGAAATGAGTTTTTCCTGGAAAAATTCGCTTGTATTTTAAATTCAAAGAAAATTTAAAATCGTATTTTTACCAGATATTAAATTTCAAAATCATGTTATTAGATGGGTTGAATATGTTAAATATTTGGGTATTTTTATTGATAATCGGTTTTCTTGGAATCATCAAATTGAGGCTATTTGTTCTAAAGCTACTAAGGGTATTAATTTAATGAGATATTTTTGTAAAACCCGGATGGGGGGGACATCAAATTACTATGTTAAAATTTTTTTAAAGTCCTATATTCGGTCACATTTAGATTATGGTAGTATATTATTAGCTAAATGTTCTAAATATTAAAAAACTTGAATAAGTTCATTTTCAGCCGTTACGCAATTTGTTTAGGTTTATGCGTCCTGGTCCAACTAAATCATTTATCAGAAATCGGCAGAACTTCCGCCTTAACATATCAGACTAAATTTTTCGGAGCCAAACTTATAATTCAGCTTTAAAAAGCATTCTCTATCGGGCGATAATCCCCCATTATTTCCAGTTAAACAGAAGCTTATGGGCATATAATCAGTATCATTTGGTTTTTGGTCCAAGATATTATCATGTTTCCTCCTTCTTATTGGAAGGCATTGATTCCAAATTTTCCTCTATGTTTCAAGATGGGGGTTGATGTTGTTAATATGCATCATTATTATAATTTTCCTCTTTATTTTTAGTAAAAATGATTTTTTTTTTTTTTTTTTTTTTTTGTTTGATTAATTAGTAATTCTATTAAATTTAGAGAAGTTATTGAGTTAAAATTTAAACAAAAAAATTCAAGTTTTTTTTTTTTATATCTTTTTATATTAAAATCAAAAATGTTGGAGTGGTATATTTTGCCTGGATTTAAATTTGGAAGCCACCTATACGATTCCTGGATATGCTTCCATATTTGTTGGAGAAATTTGCTTTTATGATGGCATTGAATGTAATTGAAAGCAAAGAAGGAATGGGAGGATGTCTGTTAATTTTTAGTGATAGTCGAGAACATGTGCTTACGAGGCATAAGCACTTATCCAATTTTAAGGACAGTCCAAATTTTACATGCTACCAAAACGTAAAACTATATTAAAGGAGAAAAAACCAATTTCGGAATTCTTCATATGGGCATGAGGCCTACCCAGTCACACGGAATATCGTTTCGGAGGCAATGATAAAGCTGATTCAATAGCACAATTGAAAGACAAAATGTCGAAAGCATGACGAAGATAAAATGGTTGGATTTACTGATCTTTATTCAATTCTTAAGGGAAACTAGTTTGTCTTAATGGAAGGCAAAGAGATGAAGGAACGATTTCTTGTACAAAAAAGGGAAACTCAATTATGAGCAGCACCTACAATCTGTTAACTTATTCCCCTACAACGATATCGTTATAGGATCATGTAAAGATACTTTTCCCAGGAAAATAACAAGATCTGACAAAACCTGCTTCCCAGATATAAGGAAGCGGGGACATTGTCAATTCCGTCCCGTTTACATCGTATAGGTGTAAATTGCCAGATTCCTGATTTTGAGTTGTGGAGAATTGAACGTTGAAAAAACCAAAAACTTTTTTTATTCGAATTGAAATAAATTTCCCGGTTAGTAGATTAAACTATAAAAATCACCTTATTGGCTTTTACCAAACATCACCCCTCTATACATTACCTTTCCGCTTTGCATTGTATCCAATTGTAGTATATTTTATAGAAGCGAACATTCTTAGATAGTTGTGGAATTAATCTTTGACATTCTTAAATGAAATTGTTATAAAATTGTTTATTTTGCTAGGGATTCTTCTCTGTCTGCCAACATCTTCTTCCAAACTCAATACAGTCGGGGTACTGGGGATTTCCGCTCGCATTTATAATGCCGATCCTGCTGCCGGTGTTCATCATCTATATAAACGCTCAACCGTAGGTAGTTAATTCTACCATCCGGCCGGATAGCCCTGGCAGCTGTGGCCATTAAACTAATATACTACTTTAACCTCAAAAAAAATAATGCAGCATTAAACAAGGTTCATTTATTGCTTTTATTTTAGTATATAAGTTTTTATAATGACTGGGAAAAATATAAACAATTTTAAAGGTAAGCAATAGAACATTTTTTACAATTCATACTTATTTCTTCCTATTTTAGTTGTGAAATTTAAATATTCAAAAGAAAGTAGCAGTTCTCATAATCTCTTTATAAAAGAACACTCGTTACGTGTACAAGAAGATGATAAACCCCCAGGACGTACATTATTTGTTATTAATATACCTCCATATATTACAGAGGTTTATTTAAAAAAGTTATTTTTGCAATTTGGGAATGTTACTTCAGTCATATTCCAAGAACCTAATACCGAAGATCATAAAAATTACAACGGATTTAAAAAATGTTACGTTGTTTTTGCCTCAAGATCTTCGTTATTAAAATCCTTAAAGATTACCTGTTTAGGTTTAGAAGAATCGCCTATAAAAACAGGTTTACAGAAATGGATGCAAGAATACAACGACTCTGTCGTTAAACCCGAAATATTACAAGCTGAAATCAATAGCTTTATGAAGAAATATGATAAATTAGAAGAATCTAAAGCAAAGAATCAGGAAGAGGTAGACAAAGAGGGATGGACAGTAGTGACAAAAAAAGGACGTAATCCAGGACTGGCACGGAAAGAAAGTGTAGAGATCAAACTGAATGAAAAAACCAAAATAAGTTCGAAGAAGAAGGAATTGAAGAACTTCTATACCTTCCAGATTCGGGAAAGCAAAATGAAGAATATTGTACAGTTGAGAAAGAACTACGAAGAAGCCAAAAAGAAAGTTGCATTGATGAGAGCATCAAGAAAATTTAAACCATATTAAATATGTTAATTGTGATTATATCTCTGTTTTAAGATTAATATAATGTTTTTATTATAACACTGGTATTTTATTATTAATATTCAAAGATTTTTTAGGTGTTATTATTCTCTTTCATTTGAAAAAATGGAGAATATACAGCATCTAGTTTTGATTCACCCTGTTGTATGTACCTACCAAACAAGCCTATTTTACTATGATTATTTTTTAATATTTAATTTTTGTTTATTAAAATAATTTTAAAGTGTGAGACTTTGCTTGTATTGTATGGTATTGGTTGGTGTATTGCTGGTATATTCTATAAAAAAGATTAGTGTGAAAATCTGAAATAGAACAACTACACCTGAATGCAAGAAATGGGTAACTTGAAATTTTTATGTTTTAAGTTACCTACTCGAAACTATGTAAAAGAGCGCCTGGAATTTAGTGCTTAAAGTAGTTATATCATTTACAGTCTGTTTACAGGATACAGGGTAGCTTACTAGTGACTGTATACAGGGTGGCGCCTCTTATATGAAGCGGAGGCTTTAAGGAGAACGACAGTTTGTATTGAAATGAAATTTTGTTAGAGCATATATGTCAATTTAGAGCATTTTTTAAAAATATAGTGTTCTACAGGGTTTTTGAAACACCCTGAATATTAATTGATTTTCGGATTCCAAGAGAAAAATCAAGTGAATTTCATTAGCGTATGACTATAATATAAGGTTTTTGATATATTTAACATTTTCTAAAAATGAAAAACAAATTTTAAATTTCAATAAAAGCTACCTATATTGGAATTTACTATTACAACCTAATATACAGGGTGTCCGGAAATTAATGCAACAAAATTTGGTCATAGATTCTTGAAAAAAAATAGGTGACCCGTATTTTTTATTTTGGGCGAATGGCCCCGCTTTTCGGATTGGCAGCCCCCTGAATTTCGCCCCTAAAAAGAGTTTTTTTTTAATATCTCAGGACCCTGTCGGACGAAAATCACTAAATTTGGTACACTTTGTTTTACCATAAAATTACATTTTTTGATGCTATTAACTTTTTTTATTTTCATCAGTGGTGTCCCTACGGTATTTAAACTAAATATTATTGAAGAAAAAAATGGTACGCCTCTGTTTTATTTAATAAAAATTATTTTTAAAATCTACATTAAATTTGGAACAACTTTATCTCTTAACTTTTTTTCGTACGATGCACCGCTTTCGCGTAAAAAAAGGGCCCCCCTTAAAATATGTAAACTGTGTAAAATATTAGGCTTTTGGGTTAAAAATGGCGCCCTAAAAAGCATATTCTACATTGCTTTTAATTTGGGCCCCCCCCCCTAAAATAATTTCCTGTATCCGCCCCTGTCTCATCAAAATACTATTAAGGATGTCTACCCCTAAAACAGATTTTCCTAGTTATTTTTATGATTTAGTGTCAGTAGATCTTTATTATTTGAGAAAACCTAGGTGGCTGTGATATTCCTGACGTTACTTCAACATAGCTGTCAAATTAGTTCAACTTTAATAACTAGTTATCATTTTGTGTTAGATGAAATAAAAAAAAATCTCTGAACTTTGCCGAAAATGGAAACTTATCCTACATCAGAGATATATGATATGATTTTATAAATTGATGACGGCAGTGTGCGTTCACCAATTCTTAACTGCTTCTAATTTTCTAGTCTAGACTTTTTTTATGGGGATATGTAATATGTGACTTTTTGTGCCTCGGTTGTATGTCAAACCTACAGCCTCGCCTCAAAAAGTGTCATTTTTACTCCTCAAAACACCAACACCAAAGGTTCCAACTTCCAACCCCCGACTGTAATATACACGCTTATATCTAGTTTTAAATCTGTAATAATTAAAATATGTTTTAAATGTGTATCTTCTTGCGAATATTTTACTTTACATCCTTTAATTTTTGTTAAAGTAATGAATCACACCCACCTGGATTTTACCAAAGAATAAAGATCTACTACTGCAAAATCATAAAAATTAAAATATCTAGGAAAATCTTTATCTAAGGGCCTTAATAGTATTTTGAAGATATATCATTTCTCCATTGAATATAAGAATACTATACTGGGTGTTTCATTTAAAATAATGAAGTAATAATTGCTTTTAAAAGCGATCATTGTTCAATATTAATCTTGCCTCATCCTGTATAACTTTTCAGATCAAATTTTAATTGGGTCTAACATGCAATGGATACTTTAACTAAATATCAGGCTATACAGGATTAATTACTATTTAGGTAGCTGTTATGGAAATTTAAAATTATTCTTCATTTTCACAAAATGTAAAATATCTCAAATATCTTACATTTTAGGCATATGCTTCTTTAATAAACTCACCTTGATTATTTTCGTAAAATCAAAAAATTAATTAATATAATATAGGGTGTTTCATTACAAAAAAAACCAACATTGATGCGTAACTTTTTTGGGGACACCCTGTAGAACTCTATAATTTTATAAAATGCTTTCAATTAATCTATATAATATGCTTCCAAAATTTCACTTCAATATAAACTACCGTTCTCCTTGTAGCCTCCGCGTCGTATGGGAGGTGCCATCCTATATAAGAAATCATATAACCACTGTATGCACTAAGTTCTAGGTACTCTTTACTTTTTTACAAAATTTCGAGTAGGTAACTTAGAACATGAAAATATCATCTTTATCAGAACAATGAACTCTGCCACCCTGTAGCTCTCTTACCTACTTCTAAAGAATATTTTATCTTTTGTTGCTATGGAAATATGGATCAATCAACTGTGTTGGTTTGATCAAAGTTTGATGTTCTGATCTCTGTTCTGATTAGGTAATATTTTACTGAAGATGCCTATAATCATTAAAGACTTTAAATGGAAACAAACTGAAGAAAATATAGTTATCCAGGTACCTTTACACGGTGTCCATCAATCCAAAATAGATATTTTTACAAGCCCGCAATATTTAAAAGCATCATTTGGAGCATTTTTTCTTTGAAGTTTTGTTATTATATCCCGTAGACATACTGAATAGTAGTTGTATTAAAACAGGCACAGAAATAATTTTTGAATTAAAAAAATATCCACAAGGAATATGGGATAGTTTAGAAATCACGCACATTTCGAAACAGGAGAAATTGGAAATGAAGAAAAAAATTATAGAAACTGAACATGCAAAAATACAGAAGGAATGTGAAGAAAAACAGAATAAAAAAGCACAACTGAAGAGGTAAATTAAAAGTTATGAACACTTTTTATTCAAATATTACGTTTTATTTTTGTAGGGTTGCAATAAATCAACAAATTGAGTTAGATACTAAAACAAGAAACCGTATAGACGAAATAAGAAAAACAGAACAGGCAAATGCATTAGGAAATCTAAACGAATGGAGAGAGCAAGCTGAAATATCTACTAAAACCACGTATAAAAAGAAAGAAATAAAAAGCGAAGATAAAATATGCCTAAGAGAAAAAGACAACTTTAATGGGAATCGTATTTCAGGGACACTTATAAAGAAAAATGTAAAACCAGAATTGAAAAATACTGTTCCTAAGTTGCGATCGACAAGATCTTTGCAAATTTTGTTTACTAACAGAGAATTTCCAACGCCCTGCAGAGAGTCTCGCTTAGAAGAAGAAAACGAATTCTTAAAGAAACAAGCAGAGGCTAGAAGATCATGTGGTAGGTAATACAAATATTTTTGGATTTAATTAGTAATATTAAAGTACTGTTATTCGTAGGATTTGTTGATAAAGACTTGCGACCCGAAGAAAAGAACCCACAATATCTTTTAGCCAAAGGACAAGAATTTTTAAAGAACAACAATTACTTAGGTGCCATCAGCGCCTTTAGTTTTGCAATCAAACTGAGTCCAGATTTCTTAGACTTGTATATAGCTAGATCTGAGGCACATTTACGTTCAGGTAAGCTAAATATAATTAAAAATAAAACCACTTCTTTATAATGTTTTATAGGTAATTTTAAACGAGCTGCAGAAGATTGTAGTGATGCTTTAAAGTTATTGAGACCAGCTCTGCCAATAAATTTAGATGATAGAGCACTCTGTATTGGGCGACGAGGTGTGGCTCTGTTCAAACTAGGCTTTTTGAAGCAAGGAATATCAGAATTAAAGGCGTCTCTAAAGCTGAAAAAGGATGAGGAGTTTGAGAATATTTTGAACGATTTTGAGATGGAATTTCAGAAGATATTGATTGAAGAAGAAAAAAAGAAAGAGAAAGAGAAAAATATGTCTAGTACTAAAGTTGATTGCGCAGGTTAATTTTAAGTTATATTTCACTTTTATTTTTCTATACACTATCGGCTTAATAAAATTTATTTTTTGATTTAATAAAAACATATTTTGAAAATTGTATTTTTAACTTTTCTCTAATATGATCTAAGTATTTTATTTCCCAAAGTATAATAAAATTAAAATTCTATAATATAGGTATCTATGGTTCTTCTCACATAACTATCCCTAATGTGGATCCGCCAAAGTAATCAAGTATAAAAGATGATTTTTTTTAAATAAGTTAATAAAATGGCCGCAACTAAAGGCCAGCGAGCGTCATTATGTCATCAATATTTTGCGGGCGAACGCTTTCTCGGCGTTAGACTCCGCGGAATAAATGAAAATATTACTTTATAGTGTTAGAATCATTGTTAGAATAAAAATGTCTAAGCTCGCACTCATGGATCATCAAACCGTCCAATCGCAAGCAAAGGGCGGTCGCTAAGTCGCTATGCAGTCGCGTCATTGATGACGCTTCTGGCCTTTTCTTTATTTGCGACCATTCTATATCCACGTTTATTATGAGTGTTTCAAACACGCTTGAATAACCTAACCTGGCTTCTAAAACCGATATACCTAAACATGTGAAGTGTAAGGGAAAAAAATGGGAAAACCGACGATGACCATTTTATATAGGTCCATAAAGGCTTTTGGAAATTCCAGACAAGTGAACTCAGATATCCGGGCAAATGAACTCTGAAATCCGGACAAAATCCGCACATCGCAAAAAAGAAACTAAACATTTATTTATGAACTTTTTTAGGACGCAAGTAATAGCCCGGGAATCAACAAAATATGTATAAACCAAAAAAACATTCATTTTCAAGGAATGCACCAAAAACGGAAAATCTGAGCGCCAAAGTGTAGAAATGGGTACTTTCGAACATGCGTCGGTTAAGTAGAGCTGTAGCATCGTAGAGACTAAAATATTCATGAAAGTAACTGAGAAATTAATTCAACTGTAACTGTAAAATATTTTAATAAGATAATAAGTTAAATTGTTTTTGTGGACAGGTTTCCCGGACGCTTTTCCAAATTCGGGCTGGACCGTGCCGGACACTTCAAAATGGAAACACTAATTTTATAGGAAATTTTAAGTAATTAAGTTGTTGAGAATACCAAGTACTAAACACATGCAAAATTGTAATCGAATATAACAAACGATTTCCAAATAATACCTCATACAGTAATATTTTTTGTATCTTTAACATGGTACACAGATTTATACTTTAACACAAAATACATGGTACACAAAAATTACAGATATTCACAATTTTATTTTAAAAAAGAATATTTACAATTAACAGTCAAAATACACTATTATTTGAATTCAAATAATTCGCGTAAACCATTAAATTCTATCAATCAAGATAATTAACATCAATAAATAACTTTAGATACACAGAAAAATGTTATTTGCGTATACTAAATACCACACGATCTAGAAAAACGGCGTCGGAGTAACCTTTGAAATGACAATCAGTGATCATTTTTATCAGGCCGAGTTCTACATCTCATTTATTAAAAATTGATATAAAAACGTGTCAAAAATTAAGATCTAAATGAAAAAAAGGCGTCTATTTACGCCCTCTTGTTTCTTTTTCTCTTATTTATCTATTAAATAGAAATTATTAAAAACCAGATTTATGTCTGGAAACTCATTTTTAATGTTTTATATCAATTTTTAATTAAATGACATACATAATTCGGCCCGATAGAAATAATTATTGAATGCCATTTCATAAGCTACCGTGAAACCGTTATTTTCATTGACCATACGGTTCAATTTTTTAAGGCAAAACAATAACAAACGCCTTACAAAATAAAAATAACACTATATTTTAAATACTTTCGTTAACTTTCTTTATGCCTAGCGATTTAAGTAACGCCTTGGGTGACGGATCCCTACCCCTAAACTCCCTGAATACTTGACCAGGGTGCTCGCTGCCTCCCAGAGCTAAAAACGTGTCTCTAAACCTCTTTCCCACGTCTCTGATTTGCTGATCGTTGTCGCGCACTTCGTGGAACGCACTGTACACGTCGGCAGCAATCATTCGAGCCCACAGATGCGAATAGTAGGCTGCGCCCCATTCGTCAGTGAATATTTGCATGAAGGAACACGGGTGGGCGTCGTATTTTATGTGATATTCGAAACTCCGGTATTTGGGCCAGAGTCGCTTCACTATATCCATCCAGAAATCTTTGGAAGAGTAGAGTTCTAGGTCTAGGGCGGATAAATACATTTCTCTGCAAAGATCGTAGCCGGCCATGTGTTTTTGGGTGTCGCATAAGGTCTGGAACATGGATTGTGGTAATGTGTCACCGCTGTCACGGTGGGAAGTTATACTGTCAATGACTTTCCTGGAAAAAGACAGGTGTGAGAAGAAAACATGTAGGAAAACTTGATTAAAACACTTGTTTTAAACTATACAGGGTGCTACAAATTCGGGGTACGAGCATTGCTATCTCGGAAACCGTAATAGGTACGGAAATGGTTAAACTGGGGCAAAGTTGTGCCTTGGATGTTTACCAAGATGCCATTAAAAAAGTTTTAAAAATTTCAAGGATTACTGAGTTTTTTGAGAAAAACGGATTTTCTTGAAAATCAATTTTATTTTTCCTGTCGTTACTTTTTAGAAAATCAAAAAAACTAATTGCACATCCTCATAGCCACTTTATTAGCGCTATCTGATAGTATTTTTAGATGTTCAAATTATCTGATAGTTTGTGAGATACAGAGGCCAACTTAATTTTTTTAAATACGGACCTGCATTTTTATATCAGGTTTTGAAAGAACTCGGTCGCCCAAGTACAATGATATGCCACACTTATACTTTTTTTGTTTCGGTAACCTTAACAACAACAAAACAATTTAATTATTATTTAAAATAATTTCAAATCCGACTCTGGTTTTTTAAATTATTTAATCTGATTATATTCATCGCAACAATATTAATCAGCGTTAATTAACATTGAATAAGGAAAATCACACATAGTTTTTAAAATCGCAATTATAGATAAATTAACTTCTAACCAAACCAAACCAAACTAGTTTCTAATGCTCTACATGTTCGAAAGGGTTATCATCCTTCCTATTGCACAAATTTATTTTTCGTTTATTTTTATTTATATCTCTTTGAACAGATCTTCTTCTTATACTTCCGAATGCATTTTGTACTCTTTGTTGTAAATGCTGAGATATCTTGATTTCACATTCACAAATGACGTCAAGTAATGCCCCACCCCCTCGCCGACGGGTCCAAAAACCTCGCTGGCCATTATACTGCTCTACCATTTCTAATCCATCTTCCGAGGAAATGATTTGATTGTTTATATTACATTATATTTATATTATTTTTTATTATTTCATTGCATTTGATTTTCCGTATTCAACGTTTTTTCATAGTTTTTCAATGTTTTTGTTAAGTTAGAGAGCTTATCAATATTGTAACAATGAATGGATTAAATATGTATTAAAAAAACAGAGCTGGACTTGAAATTAGTTTAAATAAATTCAAATTTCCAAAACAAAAAAAAATAATAAGTAAAAAAACCTGGAATAAAAAATACAGGTCCGTATTTCAAAAAATTAAGATGATCCTGTATCTCACAAATTATCAGCTAATTTGAAAATATAAAAATACTATCAGATAGCCCTAATAAAGTTGCTATGAGAATGTGAAATTAGTTTTTTGATTTTCTAAAATGTAACGACAGGAAAAAATAAAATTAATTTTCCAAAAAAATCCGTTTTCTCCAAAAAACTCAGCAATCCTTGAAATTTTTAAAACTTTTTTGATGGCATCTTGGTGAACATCCCAAAGCGCAACTTTGCCCCAATTTAACCATGCTCGTGTTATAAATTTTGTAAATAAAATACAATGTGTTGCATACAAGGAACTTTATTTTATATAAGGACATGTATGAAATACCTGAATCGACACATGAGAAACCGACGTTGTGCCACGATCCACGAAGGTTTTTGCAGTTCACAGTTCACAACACAGCTTTTTAAGTTTTTAATGCCACTTTTTCATAATTATCACGGGTTTGAGTAAATAAAATTTATAATAAACTCACAAGATAGCAATAATTACTTTGAGAATGGACGCTTTAAACACTTTTCGGTATTTTTTCAATGAGGGCGGTTTAAATTTTGAAAGATTTGATAATTTTTGAAGATGCTGACTTTGACAAGAGAAAATTATTTTTGTTATTGTTTGCGGTTGTTCTTAGCAACCGCTATAGCAGCACTAGATCGCGACCCAAAGCAATTATATACTATTTTGACGGGCTTTCCAACCTAAATTGATTTCCTTTATCTATGTTTAGGATTTAGGAAAAAATTCAACTATATTTTCAAGTTTTTTTTTTCAATTTTCTCTAAAAGATATGGAAATTTGTAAAAGTATAAACGGTTAGGTTAGGTTAGGTTAGTCATTTTAGGTTGATTAATCATTTTAGAACAATTTTTTTATCCACTTACTTGTTATACAGCCAATGAGGAAGCACATTACTACACACTTCTACAGCATCCCACTCGACATTAGAGGATCCTGCTACTTCAGAATAATATGTTCTTGTTAACAGATGCTGAAGTGCATGACCAAACTTTTGAAATAATGATCTCACCTCTGTAAGAAAAAAAATCTAGTTAAACTATTCTTACAAAATTGTTATTTATTACCTTCAAATGTTAGATGTGACTGGAATTCACCTTTGGGAGGTTCAAAATTGAAAATTAAGGAGGCCAAAGGTTTGCTATCGGTTACTTGGCTCTTGCTTTGCATTCCTATCATCCAGCCTGGATTTTGAACTCTCAGTTTATCATCTGATCTAGCATAGGGATCTAGATAAAAACTGGCAATAGGTGCAGAACTGTGAGATTCAAAAATGTCATAAAATCTAGAGAAAAATAATGATTAAATTTTAGTTTTTAAGTAGTAGTAGGTTTGGTTAATACCTGACGTCTTTGTGCCACGTTGTTACACCAGTTCTAGCTTTTATAACAATATTAAATAAATTCTCACTGAGTTCAAATAAACCATCTAATACTTTATTAAGTGGAAAATATTCTTTGAATTTCTCCTCTTCATAATTATATAAACTTATTCTATGTTTTCTTCTCCAATATGGAATATCCCACAGCTCCAATCTTAAAAATGTAAATACCTCAAAAATTTGTGTCAACTTACAGTGTGACCCAGCCCGGTACAAAGCCCCATATCAGGTTTGCTATTTGATGAGATTTTTACTCCAATTTTACTCCATTATTATTTTTCAATATTATACTTATATACAGGGTGGTCCGAATTGTATTCCGGAAACTTCGACAGCATATTCTGAACATAAAAATAAGTAAAAAAGTTCGTATAAATGTATGTTCGAAAATGCTTAGTTTCGGAGATACAGGGTGTAGAAGTTTCTTTTTTATTTCGATTTTTTCCTAATAATTTCTGAACTAAATTCACAATTTCAAATTCACAAATTTTCCTGCCGAAATGGTTAATTTCCAAATTTTGCACTTAAGAATAACTGAAATCTGCTATTAAAAAATACATTTTGCGTTTTATTTTTAATATTTTTGTGAACATATAAACACAAAATTTTTTTCTGCGGAAATAAGCTGTTTTCATTTTCTAAGGAAATTTATTAGACTTTAGAATAGCTGAAATCAATTATATAAAAAATAAATATTTTTGCCTTTTAGAAGCATTCACGAATTGAGGAAAATAAAAATTTTCCTGCAGAAATAAACTGTATCCTTTTTCAGAGGAAATTTAATAGACTTTAGAATAGCTGAAATCAGTTATATAAAAAATAAATATATTTTTGCCTTTTAGAAGCGTTAACAAACTTAGGAAAATAAAAAATTTCCTTCGGAAATGCTTGATTTTCATTTTCCATTTTTGTAAGCATAAATACATAGAAATTATCTTTTTATCACTTTTGAACCAAAATAAAATAATTTAAAAGTGTCTAAAATGCTAACCAATCTAATAATAAATCTAATAATATTTTTACAAAATCACAGTTAATTATTAAAATATGAAAACAACAGCTTAACACCCTCCACAAAGAAAAGCTAACCAAAGCAACCCAAATCCTAACCAATCTAATAATATGTTTGCAAAATCACAATTATATTCGCGGCCAGTCCGAATGTATTATCTTGATTTTACAATACGTAGTCCGTCTCTGCGTGCATGCACTATTTCAAGGCTAAAGTCAAAACTCCCTCCCTGTCGCTGGCCCACGCCGCGTCCCGTGTCGCTCTCACTTGTGTCTAGCCCTAGCAGGCAACTATTAAGCCCGACCAATCACGTTAGAGTTTTTGACAAACACAAATGAATTAACACACTCCACATCATATACGTATTACTTTTTACAAATATACTCAGCCTAATCTCCAAAAAGTGAAGCCCAAACAGTGAAAGAACAATATGGAATTCTGCATAAGTCTATTTCACCCGGATATTCATTTAACTGAGCATACCTCACCTGAAGAAGTTTTCATTGGTCGATGTTTTTAAAGGGAATTGGTTGACTGACATTTCCCCTAACCTTCAATTTTATTTATATTTTTATTATTTATAACACATTATCATGGAGTTGGAAAAATATCAAAAAATAGTTGGAAACAATAAACTAAACAAAATCACTCTTTTACGCGCACAAATAAAAAGTAATCCAAACAGAACTAAAACAACAATCAATCGGAGTTTGGCGCAATCGCAGTTCAATCCATATCCGGGTGAAATAGACTTATGCAGTTTTAATATGGAGCTGGGTTATGTTGTCTTTTTCTTACGGCACAGAAATTGCACACGGGGTTAAATAGGGAACCCTGAGTATATTTGTAAAAAGTAATACGTATATGCTCCACATAACCACGCTAACCAACCTGATTGGTCAAGCTTAATAGTTGACTGCTAGGGCTAGACACTTCTGTCGCTCTCGTCGGCTCTGCGCACGTAATTCATTCGTTTCTCGTGCATGGCAAGGTGCGGACGGCAGCTTTCCGGATTTTTACGTGTTTTTTTTGCCGATCGGGCTCTTTCCTTTTTTGGATATATTTAGAGAATCTACTGTGTTCTGCCGATAGGTAGTACACAGGAAAATACACGTAAGTATTTTTAGCTACATTTTTTCTTTGTAGAGGGAAATAATGGGCAAAAGAAATAGAAGTAAATCTCGAAATAAGGAAAATAGAGATCTTAGGGCGAAGTTACATAAACGGAATAGACAAAGAGATGAAATATGTCATCATAATTATCGTGACAGTTGTTCTCCCAGTGAGGCAGGGTCACGCAAATCTAAAGAATGCCCTGCTCCCCGTGGGAGGGATTCTTTTTATGAAAGACGTTCTCGATCTCGGTATCGCAGAAGTCGATCTCCTAGGAGTCGGTCTCTCAGAACGACTTCAAACCGCTCACCTCGACACACTAGCCCTCCAGTCACTCGATGTCGCAGCAAGACACCGTCAAGAAGTACCCGTTATAAGGCTGTATGTTCAAGGGAACGGGACAGCCGCAGTCCGAGTGTCGCTATCTCGTTATACAGTAGATCGAACACGGACTTTTTAGCAAGCGAAACTAATAATCCTAGTCCTGACGGCCGTAACCTTAGTGGTGCGGCGTCATATTCCAATGTGCTACAGCCAATTATATCTGAAAATTCCGAACAGGATGAGATTGTCCCGTCAGAACTGGTAGAGAGTGAGGAAATTTCAGATGAGGTAAGAAACATTTTAGGTCCGGACCCAACCATGAAGCCAAAGTCCAACTTTTCTCTACACAAAGCCGTGAAACCAATTTGGGAGCATATTTTAAATTTTGGGCTTCCCAAGGAGGAAAAGGATAAACTTTTGGATAAATACGAAATACCAGAGGGTTGTAGGTTCCTTACACCCCCCGCTTGAATCCTGAACTGGAAGCCAGTATGAGTAACTTACAAACAGCTAGAGACCAAGCTCATTTAAACTACCAAATACAGTTAGGTAAAGTTTTGGTAGCCTTAGGCCCCTCTTTAAACACTATTTTAGAGGGAGAGAGATATATTCCAAAGGCTATCAGGGACAGGCTTTTGACTAGTGTTGCTGATTCTGGACGAATGATTTGTAAGGTGGTCAATGAGATGTCACAAAAACGACGTCAACTAATTTCGCCTTTAATGAATAAACAGATAAAAGGTATAGTAGAAAAGTGTCCCCCTGGCGAATTCCTCTTTGGGCCTAATCTAGGAGAGAAGATCCAGACAGCAAAAAGTATGGAAAAAGTTGTGAAAGATATTAGGGCTTCTCAGTACCATAAATATCGTCCTCTCTCAAACATTTCTCCTCTTCAAAAAAGGAAAGAAGGGGGGGGGGGAAGATCACACACCACCATTAGAGGTCAGTTAAAGAGGCGACGCCCGGCCTACCGGAGGAGGGACGGAAGACCACCGAAAGGGCGACCCTCAGATCCACAGAAACGGACGTCCAACTTCAGAAACCAGTAGAGGTAAGCAATGTCTTAGCCGGTCGGCTAAAATATTTTAGGAATGCTTGGAAATCAGTGACATGTAACGTATGTCTTGGATCGAAGGGTACAAAATTCAGTTTTGTAAAAAACCTCCTCATTCTAATGCGTCAACAAATCTTCAACAGGTTCATAATGACGAAGACGGACCAATGACCTTGGCGATCCAAGAACTTGAAACGTTAGGGGCTATAACAAAATGTGATCCTTTGCCAAATCATTTTGTTTCTCCCATATTTTTAACTAAAAAATCTAATGGAAAGTATAGGTTTATTCTCAATCTTAAAAGGCTTAATCGATATGTAACGGCGCCTCATTTTAAAATGGAAGATTATAGGACAGCTCAACGGTTGTTAAGGAAGAATTTATTCATGACAACTGTTGATCTAAAAGATGCTTATTATTCGATTCCTATGCATTCAGAATATCGTAAATACTTACGTTTTGCATGGAAAAATCAATTGTATGAGTTTACATGTGTCCCTTTTGGACTATCAGCAGCACCGTATTGTTTCACGAAGCTGCTTAATCCAGTACTTTGCATCTTACGACAAAACAACATACTTTGTGTTAATTATTTAGACGATTTTCTTATTCTTGGAGAATCATACGAACAGTGTCTAAGAAATACAAGATTTGTGGTTAATATGTTAGAATCGCTTGGGTTTATAATAAATAGAGAAAAAAGCTGTTTCATCCCCAGTAACCGCCAAACCTTTTTGGGATTTATATTTGATTCAACTGTTATGCAGATGATGCTGCTGATCATGACAAGCTAATCATTTTAGACAAAAACATTTCTGTAAAATTAGGGAATTTGCAAGTTTCATTGGTACTTTAGTATCAGCCTGTCCGGCTGTAAAATATGGTTGGTTATATATTAAAGCTCTAGAACGTGAAAAATTTATGGCCTTGATACAGAATAGTGGAATTTTGATGAAATAATGGTTGTTCCCCATTACTTACACGAAGATCTGCTTTGGTGGGAACAGAATATTTTGAAGTCAGTTAACGACATAAGAACGGATGTATTTTGCCAAAGAAATTTTCACTGATGCTTCTCTGACAGGCTGGGAAGCATGTTGCGACTCAGAAAAGACCCACGGATTCTGGTCAGAACTTGATAAAAAATTGCATATAAATATTTTAGAATTAAGAGCCATTTTTTACGGTCTCAGATGTTTTGCGAATAACTTAACTAATGTTAATATTCTGTTACGATGCGATAATACCACTGCCATATCGTACATAAATCGAATGGGTAGTATCCAACATCTAGAACTTGCTAAATTAACGCGGGACATATGGAAGTGGTGTGAGAATAAAAACCTATGGATTCTTGCTACATATATAAGTTCAGCTAACAACTTCATTGCAGATAAGGAGTCAAGACAAGTTTCCCCCGAAACGGAACGGTCCTTATCACAAGATGCATTCAAGTTGATAGTTAACAAATATGGGAAACCTAAGGTTGATCTCTTTGCTTCGCACATAAACAAGAAATGCGATAAATACGTTTCTTGGCATAAAGATCCGGGGTCATATGCTGTTGACGCGTTCACAGTGAATTGGAAGGGACTTTCTTTTTATGGTTTTCCACCGTTCAATTTAATTTTAAGAACCCTTCAAAAGATAATCCAAGACAAGGCTGAAGGTATCGTGGTTGTTCCGTTATGGAAGTCTCAACCATGGTATCCACTGTTTTCTAGGTTGAAAGTAGGAAGTGAATTAGTTTTAAATCCACGTTCTAATTTACTTTCTTCTCCTTTTAGAACTATCCACCCTCTGGCTCGTCAGCTTTCCCTGGTGGTCGCCAGATTATCAGGGAATCGCTTTTAAAGAGAGACGTCCCAGAAATAGCTGTAGTATAGCTGGATACGCTAATATCTTCAATTTCCGAATCCACTATGAAGCAATACACCACAACATATCGCCTCTGGTGGAACTTTTGCCTGGAGAAGAATATCTCTGTATTTGGACGGGCAAATAGAGACATCCTGACCTTCTTACAATATACATCTGAGAAATATAATTATAAGTACGGTGTCATAAACTCCAACAGATCAGCTTTAAACCTTATTTTAATTAACGATATCGGGTCAGACCCTCTTATAAAAAGATTCATGAAAGGAATGGCGCGTCTGAGACCGGCCCAACCAAAATACGGCAGTACGTGGGATCCTGAAGTTCTACTTTCTTACATAGAACAATTGCCTGAAGATTTGGACCTTAACTTATTATCCCATAAATTAATAACACTCTTGACTTTAGTTACCGGAGAGAGGCTTCAGACGCTGTCTTTGATCAGACTAACCAATATACTGGAAAATGAACAGGAAATTCAAATTAATATAACCGATCCAATAAAAACTTCAGGTTTAAATCGGGTTCAGCCAACACTATATCTTCCCTTTTTCAAAGAGAGGCCTAAACTTTGTCCTGCCTTGACGTTGAAAAAATACATCGATGCAACAAAAGTGTTTAGAAAAAAGGAGCATGATTTTGTATTCTTAACAATTAAAAGACCTCATTCAGTTGCTTCGAAACAAACGCTAAGCAAATGGGTTAAGAAAATGTTAGAACTAGCAGGGATAGATATTTCTCAATTTAAACCTCACTCGACAAGACATTCTTCTAGTTCTGCCGCATTGAGACAGGGAATTTCAATTGAAACAATACGCAGGACAGTAGGATGGTCCGAAGGGTCATCTGTATTTGCCAAGTTTTACAATAGACCTCTCTCTGACAGAACTGCATACGCCAAAGCTATTTTAAGTAATTCTGACAAAGCTTAATTTACATTTATATGTTCAATGTTTAACAATGTTTTGCCGTAAGGCCTAGTTTAATTTACGTTAAATATGTTCTTTATATATTCTTTACTTGTTCATTATTTGTTGATATAACTATCGTTATATGCCAATTTGTTCATTTTGGTTGCATTCAATAAACGTTTTTGATATTTAAGATATTTAGCTGCCTTTCATATACCACTCAAAAAAAAAACTTTCCGCACCAATTCATTAATTCGCAACCAACAGATCTTTAAACATCTACGTATTGTAAAATCAAGATAATACATTCGGACTGGACGCGAATATAATTGTACGATCAAACGAACTTACCTGAAGTGAAGTTCGATCGTAATTATATGAAGCGTCCAGTCCGAATGTATTATCTTGATTTTACAATACGTAGTCCGTCTCTGCGTGCATGCACTATTTCAAGGCTAAAGTCAAAACTCCCTGTCGCTGGCCCACGCCGCGTCCCGCGTCGCTCTCGTCGGCTCTGCGCACGTAATTCATTCTTTAAAGTTTTATTCATTAATTCAAGCGACCATGGGGTAAGACGGGAAGGGAGGGAAGATAATACATTCGGACTGGACGCTTCATATAATTACGATCGAACTTCACTTCAGGTAAGTTCGTTTGATCGTACAATTAATTATTAAAATATAGAAACCACAGCTTAACACCCTCCACAAAGAAAAGCTAACCAAAGCAACCCAAATCCTAACCAATCTAATAACACGGCACATAAATCACACGGCAGGCCAACTCTCTTTGGCGGGAACGCTACGCGCATATCCTAGCGCAAGCCGCCATTATGGGTGCCAGCAACAGAAATTAACCAGTGTCGTAGTCAGTCGTAGTCTTTGTCATCGAGAACATACAGTAACGGCGGCTTTGAGTCAGTAGCGTGCGGCTTAATTTATTTCATTCTTTTCTTGAGTGATATATTTTATTTTTGTTTATTGTGTGTGATATATTTGGTTTTTGTAGTTTAGTAGTACAATGGAAGTCCGAAGTTCTTTTAGTTTTAATACTCAATCATTGCCTACGGCATTCAAAGTAATTTTTATTATTAGGTATCCTGCAAAATGACAAACAAGATTCATTTCTAAATTACTGTTTTTCTGATTATCCGTATCTATTTTTAATTTTTATGGATAGCTCATGACAATTCAGAGAGAAAAGAACAGAGGTCTCGTTGTTTTTTATAATAATGTTACAGATTCCGACGTAAACAATAAGGTCTTCCGTTTTTAATAAGATGTTTGCCAGATCATTTTGGCAATTTTCAGTACCCGTGTGTAATATTCGGACACAAAGTTTTTTAAATATTCTTCTAAACTGGATGAATTTATCCTAGATGGGAATAATGATAGGTTTACAAGATATTGGAATTACAAGAATTACAGGAATTACAAGATAAAGTTGTCGTACCAGATTTTTATGAGTGCAACTGTACACTCAAATCTCGCGACAAGCTTTTATATAATATAAAATTCTGTAATGACGTTATAAGTCCATAATAAAAGTTAATTTTTTTTCTTTTTAATGTATTTAAATAAAACCTTGTTTTTAAAAAGGTTTTTTTTCTTAAATATATTTTTTACTTTTTAGTTATTCTGGTTTCTTAGTGCCACACACTTAAACTCAATTCTTTTTCTTAAATAACTTCCTATGGGCATCCTAATAATATGTATATGGATTTTCATTAAAAAAGGAGAACTTAAAAAAACGACAGCTGTCAAATTTGACAGTTCAAATAAAATGAAAACCGACTATGGGGTAGGGAGCATCCAATATATCGATTTTTATCAAAATCGGACAACTTTGAAATTTTTTTGGCAGCTGTCAAATTTGACAGCTCAATTTTTTTTTCTTTCATTTTAGCCCATGGCCATCCTATATATCGATTTTTATCAAAATCTGATAAATTTGAATTTTTTTTGACAGCTGTCAAAAATTCGGGTCGTGCCTTGCAAGAAAATGTATTGTCATCGGGACTGAACCTACATGCCAAATTTCAATTTCCTACAATGAAAGGAAGTGCTTCTAAAGATTTGCCCCGAACAAACATACATACAAAGCAAGTTAAATAAAAGCTTGTAAAATAAGCTAGGTACTGCTTTCCATTAGTAGAGATACCTCTTACCATAACAACATTAGACACCCGAGCTGGTTTAAACTCTCTGTTCCCCTTCTGGTCCTCAAAACCTACAATATTATCACGACCGCTATTATAAAATAAATTGCACTTTGATTATATTATTATTATATTATGATGAATATTAACAAAATTTGCTATGTCCATTAATGGACATAATTTGTACGTAGCCTCTTTAGATTGTTCAATAGATATTTTATTGGGTATTTCTTTAATTCTTCTTTGTAACTCCTGGCATGTTTTTTAATTTTAATTGTCTATTCTCTACAGTTCAACAAGAATGGGATCTGGGCAGAGTTAGCCTGCCGTGTGATTTATATGCCGTGCTAATAATATGTTTGCAAAATCACAATTAATTATTAAAATATAGAAACCACAGCTTAACATCCTCCACAAAGAAAAGCTAACCAAAGCAACCCAAATGCTAACCAATCTAATATTTTTGCAAAATCACAGTTAATTATTAAAATATAAAAGAAAACTGCATGATCCAATGATTTTTTGTTTTGAATCAGCCCTATTTACGTAAAGCTTTAATGAAAAACAAGAATAAGTGCAACATTCCGAGGTACTTATAGTTTACAAGAACCTATATTAGAGAACAACGGTATACGGTCGAGTCGGCCTACAAACACGTAAACGTTTACGTACGCATGCGCGTTTCTTATATTTTTTATTTTTTATACACGTAAAAGATTCTTTACGTCTACGTATACGTGCCAGCAGCGGCCGACTCGACCGTATACCGTTGTTCTCTATTATCTATTCTATAAGAATTGTTATTCCTCCGAAAGGTGTTTAACCCCACCCAGCAGCCCTGTTCGCTTCCGGGTCCCGTAAGCTTCTAAACTGAAAAATGTATGAAAAACAAAATGCACAAAATGACATTGACACATTTCCCCAGAAATTTTTTTGTATTTCTTTACTCACAAAGGCTCGTAAAAAAACAAATATAAGTTCATTTTTCATGTAACGCCTTCTAGAACGCATATATTTTATCATCATCATTTTTTATATAACAGATTTCAGCTAAACGAAAGTTGAGCCGCGATTTTTACCAAGAGACATTTTTTATGTAAAAAGCATAGACCAGGCATAGACAAACAAATAAAAAGAGACTGACAAATCCCATGGTAAAGAGTGGGACCGCGTTCCCGTAGCGCAACTCAGAATAACAATTTTGAAACCAATTAGCAGAACCACGGCAGGACGTACGTCTTTATTGCAATCTTTCTTTATTATGTGTGCTTTTTATATGAAAAAGAAAGAGATAGGTATAAAACGTATCGTAAGACATTATCACACATTCTGGCTGGCGGGAAATTTAAATTAGCCATTATTAGTAGTATTCTTTCATTCTGAAACTGAAAATTTTCACTTAAACTGATTTATTCCCTATACCACGTAAAGGGGACGTGGTGTAGGGAATAAATCAGTTTAAGTGAAAATTTGCAGTTTCTTTCAGAACGAAAGAATACTATTATTATAAGGGAAATTATAAAAAAAGCAAAAATTGTACTGTTGTATAAACATATTTATTTATACATAAAAATAAATTAATTTTTTATAATATAATAACAAAAAATAACAGTGTTTATTCCACCCACCTACCAATTTTAAATGCAGAAGAACTGACTGTTGCAGGAAACGATCGGCCAATTTTTTTAAAGGGCCTTAAAAATCTCATTTTCAAAAAAACTGCCTAATTGCAATAACAAAGTGAATATCCAAGCAAGGAAGACTTTACGAGAATCATGATCCTGAACCATTTTCAAGTCCAGTTTTAATCCTAAAACAATAGGCATATTAATAAAGTTTCTGGTTACTATAAACCAGCTATAAACTACCTACCCAAAAAATGAAAAAAAATAATTGTATTAATTTGTTATGTTAATAGAGGTTCGAAATATTTTTGACACTACTACTTCTACTTTTTTCTTAATAAGATGATAAATATAACTACTTACTTTTATTTTACCGGGTGTCCTTAACATATCTATCAGAGAAAGGGGGCACCAATACATATAAAAAATAGATGATACTGGCTCCTGCAGCAAATAAAATAAATAGTATAACCTAAAATTATAAGTAACAAAATATAAATACCTATATGGAACAAAGGAATTTGTTCCCCATCCCTATTCATAAATCAATAAAATGGAGAGTTTAGAAAAAAAAGTAAATCACCAAAAGAAAAATTAACAAACATGACGAATTGTCATGATGTCATCTTGGTTGTCATGATGACGAAAACGAAACTAACGAAAGGCGATTGTAATTTCTATTTAGAAATTACGTTTTACGCTGCTTCTTTCTCTCTTGTTATATTAGAATGAGATAGTGGGCCCAATAGATGCAATACGCAGATCAACATAAATAGAATGAAATTTTACGTTCTGAGTTGCGCTACGGGAACGTTGTCCCTCTCTTTGCCATTTTATTGGCCAGTCTCTTTTTATTTGTTTGTCTATGGTAAAAAGTCACGTAAATGTATATTTTTTTAATCAGTAGTTTTATACAGGTACGGTCGAAAAGTTATTACTCTTCAAAACAGTTAAAACAAGGTTAAAACCACGGGGGTGTCACTTGTATGGGAAAACAGGCAACTGTCAAATTTAAACGTGCCAGGACCAACGACAAAGAAAGCAACATCTGCCAGGCATTGACTTTCTTTGTCACTCACATTGCTTAAATCATGATACCGCGGCCATTTTGCCAACAAAGAAGCTGGCCGGGCTGTCCTGGCAATTGATTTAAAACAATTTTGCTTTTTTACAATATTAAATTACCATTTGGATGTATTTAATGCGATTATTCAGTTCACTGGTAAGTCAGAAATTACACACAAATACTTTATTCCTAAATACAACTAAGATGTAAACGTATTTTTGTATTTTTAGATTTCAACTTTTGCAAAGACCCGCCGATAAAACTTGCCTGGCAGCGTACCTGTTTAACTAAACGTATTATTTCCTGATAATAATATCAAAACACGTAAGTACCTCTATAATTTATGATGAAAAATGATTTTGATTATGTTTTATATTATTTAAATACTTTCTAACCTCAAATAATAGTAAGATCCTTGTTTATATCGCACAGCCCGTTCAAAACTGTATTGTCTTCAAAAATGTTTACAAAACAAACAATTATTACAAAAACAATGTCCTTTTAATCTGATTTATACCTCAGAAGGATGCCAGTAAAATTTTATTAAATCAACATTATATTATTTGGCCATTAATATGCAAAAAGGAGCATATTGCCTTAACTTAAATTTTCTTTTACTTCTGACAATGTTCTCTATATTCTCTATTTTGAGTTAGTAAACTTTGAACGGCATGTGCGATATATAAAATACAAATATATCCAAGGGTATGATCTGATAAAAGTATTTTTTGATGCATTTTTTGGTTGTTTATGCACGTTGGCTTGGTTTATGTTTTATTCAGCTTATATTTATTTGGTATAACAGTTTTTTTTTGCCTTTGGAATGGCATGCATTGAGGCTAGATAGTGTTTCATTAGATCATTAAAGGAATTTAAATTAGCATATATTTTTTGTGATATTAGTGTGTTATCATGATACAGGTAGTTGTATCATAGTGCCTTATGCATGTTATTTACCTATTATATACTTATGTATTATCAGTGAATAGATGATAACATACTACTAAAATGTCTTTTTAATAGTATGTTTATCTTTCCAACTCACTAGTTATTTGCAAAATGTATTTTGAACTAATTTAAGTCATTAATTGATCATCTTTCTTTTTCAGGTTCCGGGATATTCTTTTTCATTGTTAAAAAAATATATATATTTCAATATTATTGTAATATAAATCGCAGCTCTAACAAATAAATGATATTGTTTACTATAATAATGTGTAATTTATTTACTATGAATTTTCTCTGAAAATAATAAGTCTTTAATAATATCATTGCTTTGCTGTATAAAGTTAATAGACATATATTTAAAAAATTAATTTATATAAAAGTAATAAAAAATATGTTTATTAATTTTAAACAGTAAGTCAGTGATACTTATAAAAATATTTTTTTAAAAATTTCCCCTCTTTTAAGCCCCGCCCCTCCAATTCCCATCAATTTAGCTAGTACTGCCAGGCGACACCAGATGGCGTCTGTTTCCATTTTTTAACATGAAGTTAGCATTTCTTTAATGTACCTATTCTCTGGTTAAAACCTTTGAATAAGAAGACTAAGGAAGGAGCATATCAAAAATCTTAGGTACACCGCGATGGGCCTCAAATATGGCCGACTTAAATTCCGGTTTATCAGTGTCGTTCTAATTTTATTTAAAAAATGTAAAACTATGATGTAGGGTAGACGTGGGGTAGACTCAATAATTTGTTGTTTTATTTTACGTTGTGAATAAATGTTGGTAGTTATTAAAATTGTTATAAAAATATATAATTCTAATAAAAATAGATAAGTTATAATAAGTATTTATTAACACAAACATCCGATACGCTACTGAAGCAGGTAAGTCAAATTAACGTATCTAAATTCTTTGACATCTAATCTTTGACAAGTAATAAATAAAAGCTAAAATGCAAGAAAAATATATAATTTAGTTAATTTAAGTGAATTTCATAAATGATCGGTTTACTACACGTATGTATATTATATAGTCACTTACTAGCGAAAAGTTGTTCCATTATTTCACTCAATTTTTGCCGAGATCTACCGCACGCTACACAACCAACTATTTTAGAGTCTTTTTCGATAAATCGCGATAGAGTCACTGTTAATTTAAGTTCTGCCACAATTTCCATCTAGATTTACTACCTTTATACAACTATCAGTAGTAGAATAAATAATAAATAACATAAAATAAGCTCCGTAAAGACTGACAAAACTTCAGCACAAAATTTCAAATCAAATTCAAATGTGTCAAATGAATCGTCAAACAGAACTGTCAAGGATCCCCACCCTAGAGAGCTTTTATGGTAGCTTTTCCGCCCACCATGCATGAATACATGGATAGCATTATGCTCCTTCCTTAGTCTTCTTATTCAAAGGTTAAAACACATGTAGGTGGCGCCACCTACAAATAGGAGTCATATTGATATCAAAATCAAATTTCTCATGTCAAAAAACCCCCAGACACAAATTTTCATCCAAATATTGACGTTAGTTCAAAAATTATTTGGAATAAATCGAAATAAAAATGAAATTTCTACACTCTGTACCTCCAAAACTAAGCATTTTAGGACATTCATTTATACAAACTTTTTTACTTATTTTTGTCTGCAGAATATGCTGCTGAAGTTTCCGGAATACAGTTCGGACCACCCTGTATATAGTAGGCAATGTTAGATTTGAGTACAAATTTTAAAAATGTTTTCATAATAAAATTATACATGGTGATTGGACAACTCAAATAGCTTTTTTGGTAGACTGTGTCACCTCATACACACAAACAGATCTAATACCTATCAGTCTTAAAGCCTCTTTCATTTGCATATTCTAATAACACTTCCAACTCTTCATCTTGAGCAGGCTTAGCTCTTTCTAATAATGATTCAAACATTTGGTCAACTGCTTGTTTACTGCCAGCCATTTTAGTTTCCATAGACATATCTACACAACTATTATACCCTAATAAAAATAAACACGTATCACATAGATGTATGAATTTGAGGATATAACAAATAATTAACCTAAAAGTTTTGCTATATCAGCTTTCAAAAATCTGATTTCTTCAACATGAAGACTTGTTGCTAGCTCTCTTTCACCACCAACAGATCCTCTATTTACATTTGACTTCCACAATAACCATCTTATGTCCCGATTAGGGCAGTGTTCTAAAAGTCTAAAATAAACATGAGGTTGTAAAGTAAATTTCCAAGGTCCATTTAGATGATAACTTGGATCCACTGCAACAGCCTAAAATATTTAATATTATGCTTGGGAAACAGTCTAATATTATTAAATATTATATACCTTTAACAAATCATCTGGAAAATCTCTTACAATAGTTCTATCACTCACCATCTGGGCATGCTGTTTTGTATTAATATCATTTTTATGTTTAAACTCACTCCTCTCCTTTGCTAAAGTAGATAAATTATATAGCATAGATTTGCTGATCTTTTCGGAAAGTTCTAAACCATTTAGACGCCCCTCAAGAACATATTTCTTCAGAATTCGATCTTCTTCACTGGATCTCTTTTTTTCTTTTGAGAATTCCTCTTTCATAGCAAAATGAATCTTTTTACTGGTAAATTTTGAAAATCTTGCTCTTCTTGCTCGATCATGTATGGCCATATAGCTTGAAGTGGGCATTAAAGTATTATTTCCAAGATATAATGTTTTTGATAAACCCCAGGTAGTTTCCATAACATGTCCTAAGTGTTCTAAAGGTACCACAATATCTTTAAAAACATCTACACAAGGATTTTCAGTTATTTGCTTCTCAATCTCTTGGACACCAACCTCAAAGTCCAATGTTTGTTTTGCAATAGCCGCCCTACAATTTTCTATTGTAATTTGATTAAATTTGGGAAGCCCATCAGTATGATATAGCGGATTCTTTTCCGGTGCATCTTCTCCAATCTCAGGAACACTACAAGATATATATAAATGACCCTATAAATATAAATCGAGGAGAAAATAGATACATCGCAATAAAATGAGATGCATTTTTTCATAAAATTAACATTGAAAAATTACAACTTACAGAACTATATATCCTTGATTTAATCCAGATGATGTGTAAAATTTGCGGGTAGTTGAAATAAGTCTTCCGCAACGAGTTAATGCCATTTTCATTTAAAAAATCATTGGAAAATTATTAAAAAATTATTTTATTTATAACATAACCTATAACCTCGTAAAGGAAAATGGCGGATACGTAATGAAGTTAGATAACCAATTTTAACCACAGAATGAATAATAAAATCATATTTTTTTTCAAAAACTAAAGTGACCAATAAATTGGAAGAGAAGAAACATATATCATATATAATTTTGGTAAGTATATTTTTATATATGATTGTTTCTTCTTCTTTTCGATATATGGCCGTTTAGTTAATTTAGGATTTTTATTTTCGTTTTATTGGCATTACAAATTAAACCAAAAATATTCAGTACTAGTACTGCCAACTTAATCGCCTTAAAAAGTTAATATTTGACAACGGATCTATGAGTTAAGCATTTTTTACGTTTTTCAGTTCGATAAAAGCGAAATAATCAAAGTGTTTTTTACTGATATTGCAACCGTTTCAAATAATCTTGTAAATTAATTTACAACAGCCGATTATATTCTTAAGGGAGAGTGAATCATACAAATATGGCCACCCCGTCAGCCGGTGTGGGTAAGTATTCATTTGAGATAATTTATTTTAATTTGTTAAAAAAATATAACACCTAATTGGCTGAACTTTGTTTCAGTTGTTCCAAGAAACTTTCGATTATTAGAAGAATTGGAAGCCGGTCAGAAAGGTGTTTCTGACGGTACTATAAGTTGGGGCTTAGAAAATGATGATGATATGACCCTCACTCATTGGATGGGCATGATTATTGGACCCCCTCGTAGTCCTTATGAAAATAGAATGTATTCTGTCAAGATTGAGTGTGGTTCAAGATATCCTGATGAGGCTCCTTTGGCCAAATTTATTTCTAGAATTAATATGAACTGTATCAATAGTAATTCAGGGGTGGTAAGTTTTTCTTACCTATATTTAAGTTATCTAGCTTCTGCATTCTGAGTACATACCTGGTTGTATGTTTTTAAAATTATTATTTCTTTTTATAAAGGTCGACAACAGACAAGTCCCTGTATTGGCCCGATGGCAGAGAGAATACACTATCAAAACCGTTTTGCAAGAGCTGCGGCGTCTGATGACGCTTAAGGAAAATATGAAACTGGCGCAGCCCCCGGAGGGCAGTTGCTTCTAGCCCGGCGTAACTCTAGGAGATGGGGGTCAGGGACGTAGAGCACCCGCTACCCAGCAGAGTGTCCCTCGCCCTGTAGACTTGAACGTGGAGGACTACACATGTGGAGTATTGTGAACGAGAAAAAAATCATAATAATATTAATAGTTTTGAAATGGTTTAGAGAGATTTTTTCAGAGAGAATGAAAGAATCGTTTGTTTAGTTAAATTGCATAACATAATTATAAATACAGTTAATAATTTATGTATATGTGTATAGGGTAAACAGTAAGCAAAATTGTGTGGATTGTGTTTTTAAAATTAGGTGTTAATATGATGTTTTCAAATTACTTTCAATTAAACATTCTCTTAGAAAAATAAATCTTTATCATTTCTGTATAACTCCATGGTCTCTTTGGGTTTCGGGACTGTGTAATAGTTAAGTTTAAAATTTATTAGATTCTGTTGGCTAGGTTAATTTTTTTAAATTAAAGAGAGAATTAATTTTTAAACAAAATTTTAAGTATTAAGCTTAGTAAAGGTAGTAGAAATATATGTTTCGGGACACAAAGAGATGAAATAATTGTGTTTTTTTTTATAATATACTATATATATACATATATCCATGGATATGCGAGGCACTCTTATTAAGAAAAATGTACAGCTTTATATTGGAGGAATCAAGCATTTTTCTTTAAAATAATAATCCGTATATTGTATATTTTTAATTGAACAAATTTTGCTTCACAGCTCTGCTGACCGTGTTTTATAAAATATGTGACTTGAAAATATTTCCTGTACCAAAAAAAAATCAAGGAAAAACCCATTTTTATTTTTACTCCGACTATATATTAATACCTAAATAATTTAAATGAATTATAAGAAGTTTCTTTTATACATGTATCTAGTTTTACCGGCAGTTCACTCATTTGTAATTTCTAATAAAAATGTTCACTGGTGTTATTCAATAAACGTAAAAGTACTATTTGTTTTTTTTTAATACTATACAATAAATACTTTGAATATTTTCTTTGGATGATATTGACATGTTTAATAAATTGTTTTTTTTTAAGGATAGGATATTAATATATAGACTACTTAAAAAAATACGCTAATATTTAAGAGGGTGATAAGAAAAGCATATGAAAGTATGTTTTCAACAGATTGGTAAAATTTGTAAGAAAAAAATCATAATAATTCTGATATACCGGGTGCGTCTCAAAAGTGGCTCACCCCCATAACTTTTAAAACGAGATTTGGTATGTTAGTATCTGACATAAATTAGGATTGATTGACGTACTCAATTGCTTTTGGCCACTTCCTGTTTCACCGTAAATGACTACAACTTTTTATTTTTAAATAGCACCCTCATTATTTTTTTACTGTATTAGATAGAAAATGACATTCTGAATAGAATGACACATCATATGATCATATGTCAACTTTTGACACTCTCGCTTAATAAAAAATCGTATTTTAAATTTCAATCTAGAGTGCCATGGCTATGTTAAAAACACTAATTCTTAATCAAGGACCCTTGGAAAAAAAGAGAGTTGCATAGCATATTTGGAAAAAGCATTTTTTTACGAATAATTTGATACCTCACACTTGGTATTTCCTCTGGGTATATCGAGTCAAATTTTCGTTGCGAACCGCAAGTTATAATTTCAAATAAACCATATGCGAAAATGTCAAAAGTTGACATATGATATGTCATTCTATTCAGAGTGACATTTTCTATCGAATAAAGTAAAAAAATACCGGGGGTGTTATTTAAAAATCAAAAGTTGTAGACATTTCCGGTGAAACCGGAAGTGACCGAAAACAATTGAATGCGTCAATCAATCAACCTAATATATGTCATATACTAACATACCAAATCTTGTTTTTTAACTAAAAAAATGAAAAAGTTATAGGGGTGAGCCACTTTTGAGACTCACCCGGTATAATATATAGTCTTTGATATAGTTTTGATTTTGTGACATTTCTTGTATTTTTAATGATATTTTTAAAAAAGACTGAATAAAATATTTTTTATTTATTTATTAATATCTCTGAAACTATCAAAACATATTTAATATAAAGGGAAATTAAAATAACTTTCGTTGCACATCATAATACGACCACCAGCAAACTCCATAAGACGACGTGTCATGGTGTCATTCATGACGTGCACCCAAAGTTGTTTTAATTTCCCTATAGGTATAGCCGTGACAGTGAAATAGGAAAATTGGAAACAGTCATTAGTGTCATTCCTGTCATTCTCCTCACGACAAGTATGGCCGCCTAGACAAGGACAGCATTGTTTTTGTCTAACTATTGTCTAACGTCACAGTTTAGGAATTGACAGATTTCAGTTTCCAAGGATCAACTTCAGATTTGTTCTAGAACAAATTCGAAAATATTCGACGCCATTTTAATTCATTCCGTTTAGTTTCGTTTTGAAAGTTCAATTTAATATTTCGGCTGAAATTTATAATTATAAAGGTAATAAAGTATATAAAATATATATTACATGAAGAATCCTGGAGAAAATGACGTTTCTGCAGTAATAGGTATGTCCCATGTATATGAAAAATAGGTAGTAAATAAACAGTTTTTACATTTTTTAGATGCAAGAAAATGGTGTTATAATCTCTTTGATCGGCGATTTTTTTGAAAATGGAAACAATTTACAGCAAGGTAAGATCATTTTTAACTATAGCCAACATTAGTTATCTCCAGTATGTGCGATTTATTGTCAATAATGCAATAAATCGGACTGATAATCTGATTATGTTATCCGACCAAAAGTCTCTTTTTGCTTCTTTTTGATTTATAAGCCAGGTCTCTTTGGGAATAATGGACGCTTTTTTAAACAGTATATTTATATTTTATACCTAATATCAATATTAAATAAATTTAATATTGATATTTTTACATTGTTAATTTTAGTATAAAAAATTTGTTTTTCTGTTTTTCAGGTTTTGGTATACCCAGGTTTTTGTATAAGGCTCCCGTTTTCATGTCCCTGTGTCCGTTTTCTGTCCTTGAAGTCTGCGAATACGTGTGTTTATTTACAAATTACTGTAAGTCATGCTTATACCTTAACTAATTTACGTTAAAAGTACATATAATTAACTAATTGGTATTGAAACAATACAATCCTCTATATTTTTATATTTATTTAGTCACGTTGTTCCATATTTCAAATAAATATATGTGAATAAATTATTTTTGGTTTTATTTATGAAAAGTAAAAATACAAAATACATTTGAACTGAAAGAGCCCGCCATTGAATAACCGGAAACGGAAATGAAAAATTAAGCCTATTTTTTATTTATTTATTAATATCTCTGAAACTATCAAAACATATTTAATATAAAGGGAAATTAAAATAACTTTCGTTGCACATCATAATACGACCACCAGCAAACTCCATAAGACGACGTGTCATGGTGTCATTCATGACGTGCACCCAAAGTTGTTTTAATTTCCCTATAGGTATAGCTTAGGATCATGAAGATAAGATATTACCAGAGAAATAGAAGGGATTCCACTTCCATATCTCTGAATATTACGCATGTAGTTGGCGGAGCTTAACAGAAAATTACTACAAGATTACTACCCGAGTGACGTCATGCGCGCGGAGAACAGATTTGAGACCGCCAAGGATCTTATCCATGGCTTAAAGGTGGCTTAAAGGCTTGATTTCCATGCATCAGTTGTCCGACGATACGATATTAATTTTATTGGCTGAATTTAAAGGCTTCGATTTGTTAACCGTTTCTAACCAATCAAAGTCCTCAAATCCAACCAATAAAATTAATATCGTATCGTCGGATAACGGATGCATGAAAATCAAGCTTCTTAGGATTATGTAAAAATGTAAAGTGATCCACCCTGAAATTATGACCCCCACTTTTGAGGAAAAATTTTGTTTTCTTAAAATTGTACAGTCCGTAAAGTGCAAAACATGTTCAAAATATATTTGGTAAAGTCGAACGAACCCAAAAATATTTTAATTTGTAGAATTTCTATAGAATTTAAAACTTTAAAATATTTATGTTCTCCATATTTTTTCTAGGCAATATGGCTGATTTTTGCGCATGCGCACCTTAAAAATTCATTAATTCTCCATATTGAATTGGGTTGGTTTCGCGTTGTTTTGATGTACCGTGGATGTACATATTTTAAATAGTTACAAACGTTACAAACTTTTTAATTTCCAATAATAATTAATTGATCTGTATCAGATCTTCAGATAGAAAATAAAGGAAACTTGTGATAATGAGATCTCGAGCTGGTAAACGGTAAGTAATGATTATAAATATCTGTTATTGATCTATTGAAATTGGCTCAAACATCTTTGAGGATAGTTAAATATAGAAATTGTTTATCGGAAGAAAAGTATCTTCTAAACTGCTTAAAATTACATTATTTGTTATTTATATTAATGTTTTGGTAGTTTACACAGTTATTTTAAGTTGTTTTCTGATCCTTGACGTTTTGAATTTTTTTATTTATATTTGCATTACATAGAAGAGATCGAAGAAGATCCAGAAGTAGGGATCGTGGCGGACGAGACAGGGGTTACGGGGGTGGTGGAGGTCGTAGAAATCAAGCCGGAGCTAACCTTAGAAAACCGCGTTGGGATCTTAGTCGTTTGGAACCTTTTAAAAAGGATTTTTACGTTCCACATGCTTCGGTATCAAACAGGTCATACTATCAAGTAGAAGACTGGAGAAAAAGTAAGGAGATCACTTTAAAAGGAAAGAATGTACCTGACCCAGTATTGAGCTTCGAAGAGGCTGGGTAAGTTTTTTTTCTTCTTTGAAAATGCACTTCTTAATGTTAATTTTGTAGCTTTCCTGATTACGTAATGGGTGAATTACACAAAGCTGGTTTTAAAAACCCTACACCCATTCAGTCACAGGGGTGGCCTATAGCTTTATCTGGAAAAGATATGGTTGGTATAGCATCAACAGGATCTGGCAAAACTCTAAGCTATATTTTACCCGCTATTGTCCATATAAATCATCAGTCTCGATTAGCCAGAGGCGATGGACCTGTTGCTCTTATTTTGGCACCTACTAGAGAGTTGGCTCAACAAATTAAACAAGTAATTAAATCTATTTTCAAATTTTACAATCTATTACAAATGATCTGGTTATAGGTTGCCACTGATTTTGGTAAGAGTTCTCGAATTCGAAACACATGTATTTTTGGGGGTGCTCCAAAAGGGCCCCAAGCTTTAGATCTAATGGACGGTGTTGAAATAGTTATTGCTACGCCTGGGCGATTACTTGATTTTTTAGAAAGTAACAGGACAAATTTGAAAAGATGCACTTATTTAGTATTGGATGAGGCGGATAGAATGTTGGATATGGGTTTTGAGTTGCAAATCAGGAAAATTATAGAACAGATAAGACCAGACAGGTATTATAATAATTTTTCAACTATACATAGTTTTTAATATAGGTTACCTTATATATTTTCTTAGGCAAACACTTATGTGGTCAGCTACATGGCCGAAAGAAGTTCAACAGTTAGCCTCAGAGTTTTTGAAAGATTACATCCAGATCAATGTTGGTTCCCTTCAACTCTCAGCAAACCACAATATTCTTCAAATCATCGATGTCTGTCAAGAGTATGAAAAGGAATCAAAGTTGAGTACTTTACTGAGAGAAATTATGGCTGAAAAGGAAAACAAGACAATCATTTTTATGGAAACAAAGAGGAAAGTTGATGACGTTACAAGGAAAATGATAAGAGATGGGTAAGTAAATTCTTATACACAAACTGGAAAAAAGAGGCATCTTAAAATTTTCATGTATTTTAAGTTTAATATAGGTATTTTAATTTTGTTATTTTTTTAGCGTGCCAATTTTGATAATTTTTTAAAGTTAAATTATATGACTCTTTAGCTCCTTTTTAAATATAAAATTTCTCCTAAAAAAAGGCCTCATCTTCTTATAGATAGATAGATATTATTTATTTGATCCAAATAATAACATAGTATTGTTAAAAATACTACTAATGGAACATTGTTAAAGTTGAAATTAGCTTAAGCCTAAAAAACAGTTAATAATAAAAAAGATATACATATGTATATAAGATAGAATAATTATGGTGCGTCCAGACCTGAGGAATTGAGTGCGAGACGAGCGCGAGACATTCCAAATTTGCGGTGTTTTTCAAAGGATGGAGGGGTCTCGCAAGAGCCTCGCGACCGTCTCGCGAGACAACTCACGGAGCCTCGTTGCTATCCGTTCCCTGTTGGTTTTTCAACGGCTGATCAAAGACAGCTCGCAGCCAAGTTTGGACGTGTTTTTGGTAGGTTCTCTCGACTGCGAGATATTAGCTCTGATATTATAGTGCATATTGGAAATGGAGACTTTCAGGAAGATCAGCTGAAATTAATCGATTTATATAAAGAAAAACCAATATTATGCAATCCAAAAGATAAAGAATATTAAAAAACACGATGCGTGAGTAGATATGTGAATAAAACTTGGGAAAAATGTAAAAAATTATTTCTCTACTGGCAACATACAGGAAGGAGATTATTATAGGAAGATTAATATTATTGAATCTTGTTACCTAGTAAATTAAATACACAGGGTGAGCCAACGATAAAGTTCATTATTTTATTTGTTTTGAGAATTACTAAAAAGTGTTTTAGAATTATTAAAAATTAGAAAAACTGTAGAGAAGGTTAAGATACACATTTTAAAATTATTATAGAGTATACAAGGTGGTTCAAAATAGTGTTACGGATATAATATGGTTTTCTAAATGTAATACATTATTTTTTTTTATTTTTAGATTCTGCGTAAAATTTTATAACTTTTTTTTATGTATAATTCGATGTATAATGTTATATACCTAAAACTAATAGTTTTTGTAATATTTCAATTTGCTTAAACAAAAAATGTTAGATTTCAGAGTCGTAAAAAATTGTCAATAATGCTATTGTTTCTGAAGTTGGAGCGCTAAAATTTGTTAGTTTAATTTAATAGTTTTATTTAAGTTAGTTTAATTTGATAGTTTTATAGGAACGAAGAAAGAGATATAGGTAAAGATATTTTAGTTAGATGCTACAGTGTGTTCAACATATATTTATGAATTTCGACTATTTAAAATAGAATTTGTAAATTCTATTAATAGAATTTACAAATTTTGCGTCACTGACACTGTTTACCATACCGAAATCTAATTTTTCTTTAAACAAATTGAATTATTACAAAATCGATTATTTTAGATATGTATATAATATGATATACAAAAAAAGTTGCAATTCGGTTTTTTTTTAATAAAATAAAAAATTCTAAATAAAAAATTCCCATTAAAACATACCGCGTGTGAGAGAGTTAAGTACGAAAATACCGAGGGTCCCATTTAAAAATCACATGTTGTAGTTATTTCCGGTGAAACCGGAAGTGGCCGAAAACAATTGAATATGTCAATCAATCCTAATTTATGTCATATACTAGCATACCAAATCTCGTTTTTTATCTGAAAAAATAAAAAAGTTATAGGGGGTGAGCCACTTTTGAGACGCACCCGGTATATCCGTAACACTTTTTGAAGTACCCTGTATACTCTACAGTAATTTTCAAATATGCTTTTTAACCTTTCCTATAACATTTCTATTTAACATTTTGTTCTAAAAAACGAATTTTGTAAAAGACTTTTGGATGGAGAAAATGGACTAGACGGATTTTGTCGTGTCTCGAAACAAATAAAAAAATATAAAAAAGGGTAAAAGGGGAAAAAATCGACGATGAATAAAATACGACATACCAAATATCATGTTAAAGATACAAAAATTTATTACTTATGCGTTATTATTTGCTGCAGGTTTTTCATCGGACATGTTTACACAAACCGGTCACCTTTCACTATGATCCAACTCGCTTGTCTCGCGGCAGGCTTGCGTCAAAAAATGGATAGAAAATGTCTTGCTCTCGTCTCGCACTCGACTCCTCAGGTCTGGACGCACCATTAGAAACTAAAGTACATGTGCTTATGCTATTAATCTATAAAACAAAAACTATGATTATTAAAAAAAATAACAACAAAGAAAACAGCAAAACAATTCACAAGCAATAAAAGCAGGAAAAGGGCCATTATAATTTTTTTTTATCTGAGTCAGTGAAAAATTTATCTAATGACGTGCGCTTTCCTAATTAAAAACGTCTTTAATTTAGTCTTGTTTTGTTTGGGATTATATAAACAAATATTTTCCGGGAAACTATTGAATATTTTTATAATGATATATTCTACATTTTTCTGTAAATAGCTATAATTATATTTATTTAGTATCTGATCGGATTTATTTCTTGTTTCATAATTGTGATTTCTAATAAAACTTATATCTTCATATTTAACAAAATATCGCTGTTATTAATTATGAACATGCAAGAATCCAAAATATACATAGAAGACAATGTTAAATATTTTCCATAACAAATACACTTCTACAACTCTCATATGGCCTCATCCCGTATATATATTTCTGAGGCATTTTTCCTGTAATTTTAAAATTTGAGACGCATGCGATGAATTTCCCCAGACAATCAACCCATAGGTATCTAATTCTCGACTGAATAAAAGCGTGGTAAGCTATTAAAGTGGTCTCTCGATCTACATTACTCAATATAATTTTAAGAGCAAAACTGTATCTTGAAACACTTATGCAATCTTCTAAACATGCTCACTCCTGTCTATTCTCTTGTCTATAGTAATGCCACGGCATATAAATCACACGGCAGGCTAACTCTGCCCAGATCCCATTGTTTTAAATTTCTATAAAATTTGACCTTGAAAACACCATTATGGGTGCCGAGTCAGGGCCGGATTAAAACGTATCAAAAAATTTCCCAGAAAATAAACTATTGATAGACAGGGTCGTATTAAAAAAAATACTGTAATTGACTGAAACTAAATTTTATTTACACAATACTTTTATCTAAACAAATGAATCGTTAACCGCGCATACTCCTCGAAAAGTAACAATGAAAAAATCAATTAAACATTTAACTGTAGAGAATAGACAATTAAAATTAAAAAACATGCCAGGAGTTACAAACAAGAATTAAAGAAATACCCAATAAAATATCTATTGAACAATCTAAAGAGGCTACGTATAAATTATGTCCATCAATGGACATAGCAAATTTTGTTAATATTCATCATAATATAATAATAATATCATCAAGTGCAATTTATTTTATAATAGTGGTCGTGATAATATTGTAGGTATTGAGGACCAGAAGGGGAATCGGGAACAGAGAGTTTAAACCAGCTCGGGTGTCTAATGTTGTTATGGTAAGAGGTATCTCTACTAATGGAAAGCAGTCCCTAGCTTATTTTACAAGCTTTTATTTAACTTGCTTTGTATGTATGTTTGTTCGGGGCAAATCTATAGAAGCACTTCCTTTCATTGTAGGAAATTCAAATTTGGCATGTAGGTTCAGTCCCGATGACAATACATTTTCTTGCAAGGCATGACCCGAATTTTTGACAGCTGTCAAAAAAATTTCAAAGTTAACGGATTTTGATAAAAATCGATATATAGGATGGCCATGGGCTAAAATGAAAGAAAAAAATGAGCTGTCAAATTTGACAGCTGTCAAATTTTTTTAAAAGTTGTCCGATTTTGATAAAAATCTATATATAGGATGGCCATGGATTAAAATGAAAGAAAAAAAATTGAGCTGTCAAATTTGACAGCTGTCAAAAAAATCTCAAAGTTGTCCGATTTTGATAAAAATCGATATATTAGCTAAGTTCGGTAATCACATCCAGATGTCAACGGATTTTTTGTCACGTGATCACAGATTGGATTGAGTAACGTGAAATTACCGAACGGTTTGGAATGTTCGGATCGCTAAGGGAAAAGTGACAAGTTTGAAATCCTAATTCCCAATTGAAATTTTTCAACTTTCAAAGACAAAAGGACCAGTAATTTCTTTTTTGAGTTTTGTACGTCATTTTGCATTAAGCAACAAAATAAACAATTTTAAACTTGACAACAACTTGGAAATTTAACCTCACTAATTCAAATTAATCTGTTTGCTCCGTCAAAATTCTCCGAGCAAAAAGATCAGCGTCCGATTGCTCCGATTTTATTTACCGAACGCGATTCAGATTTACTTCCCCTACATCTGGATGTCATAAACGAACGATAGAGATCGATCCGAGCGGTCGGACGTGAATACCGAACGCGCCAATTGGATACTCCCTACCCCATAGTCGGTTTTCATTATATTTGAACTGTCAAATTTGACAGCTGTCGTTTTTTTAAGTTCTCCTTTTTTAATGAAAATCGATATACATATTATTAGGATGCCCATAGGAAGTTATTTAAGAAAAAGAATTGAGTTTAAGTGTGTGGCACTAAGAAACCAGAATAACTAAAAAGTAAAAAATAAATTTAAAAAAAAACTTTTTAAAACAAGGTTTTATTTAAATACATTAAAAAGAAAAAAATTACTTTTATTATGGACTTATAACGTCATTACAGAATTTTATATTATATAAAAGCTTGTCGCGAGATTTGAGTGTACAGTTGCATTCATAAAAATCTTGTACGACAACTTTATCTTGTAATTCCTGTAATTCTTGTAATTCCAATATCTTGTAAACCTATCATTATTCCCATCCAGTTTAGAAAAACATTTAAAAAACTTTGTGTCCGAATATTACACACGGGTACTGAAAATTGCCAAAATGACCTGGCAAACATCTTATTAAAAACGGCAGACCTTATTG